AAAAAAAAGGCATTTGTGAAGTAGTTAAATACTCTGAAGTCCTGCCCAATGCCTGGAAATTTCTGTTCTAAAAATCGTAAAAAAAGATCCCACAAATTTGAACTGCACAAGCACACTGAATAATATTGAGCCACAGAAATTGTCCTGCTTCCCATCTTATTTGTACATGTCTGTGGGAACCTTACAAAATACAGAAGGATCTACCTAGTGGTATCTTTTAACATCTAAGAGTGCACATTTTTGATTACATGTGAATAAAAAAGTAGACAAATTCTCTCTGACTGATGCAAATAGTACAAAAGATTACAGAGTAGGGTGTAGAATAAAACAACTGCCATGCACATTCAAACTCCAAATGTAAGAAAAAATAAAGATTTGACTATATCTTGTGCATCATTTTGCAGGAAAGCCTTCAGATGAAGCCTTGTCTTGGAGAATGTTACACAGAAAACAAAAAGAGCAATTTAAAGGTCTTTCATTTAATATCAAACAAATTCCTGCCGTCTTTTGCAACCTAAGAAACCACTGACAAGAATACAATGTGAAAGGGTTTGTCACTTTACTAAAAGATACTTGTGTTTGGGAAACTTTTGTATTTGTGAGACCTACAAATCATTTCATGGATAATGGAAGGTAGAAATCATTCTGTTGGGAAGGATGAGCATTTTTCAGTCTCTGTCTGCCCTAATTTGCGCTCTAATAGGTTTAAACCACCAGCTTAAAATAGTCTGAAATGTTCATCTTGTGTAGTTCATGGCTTTTTGTACCTGAGTAAAGACTAGTACACAAAGCCCATTCTTCTACATCAGATAACACCTGCCCCCACTCTTGCTAAAAAAAAAAAACAACAAACACAACTAAATAAAAAACCACTAAGAAAAAACCTGTAACTCAAACCAAACAATAAACCCCCTCAAAGATTACATCACTTAGTTTGCAAGCAGATCTGAAACTGTATTTTCAAAGCAACTGCACTGAAGTTCTAAAATAACCTGACACAGCCAATACATTTAGTAAAGCAACATAATAACACATTTCTACGCAGTTCTAACAACATTCTTTTTCTCAAAATGACACATATCACCCTGGGTATGAATTTAAAATTTTTTCAGGTTGCTTCTAGAATTCCATTCACTCTTCTGCAATGGCATGCAGGAGGCTACCATGTATACAGGCATAGATTTCTATGGCAACAGTTTAAATTCTAGGCTATTCTTAGTTTAAGTGTTTTCAGAAATAAAAACAAACCACAAACAACCCTTTTTTAACTAACTAAATAATATATCTTTCTTTTCTGACTTTTCTGAAAGAACAGAACTGTCTTTGCTGTGATGATTAAGCAATAAGTAACTTCATGTGATACATACTATGCTTGAAGCTACAAGATTCTTAAGTTAGCAGGGAAAAAATGACCATTTTGACACAGCATGGATATCCTGTAGGCTTACAATGTTAAAAATAATATCATGTCAGTCTTTATCAGAAAATAAAACATTTACTTTTTGGTTATTGTTCTTAATGCAGTAGAACTGAGCATATTTAATATAGTTACACTTCACACCTCTTCAAAACATCTTCAATAACCCCTTTTCTTTCTCTTATGTTTCTTTTTTGTTGAGTGTTTTGTTTGATAAAAATAATGATGGAAGTGCTAAACATGTAAATAAGATAAGCATTGTAATTCAAGGCCTGGAAATCATTGCATCATCTCAGAGAGTTGGGTGATCTATGTTTCTTAAGGGCAAGTGTCTGCAAAGCAGAAGAAAGAATCCTGTGAATGTTAAAATCAGAAAACTCCATTTTGTCCTTTTCCCACAACCTAGAAACAAGGTGATAAATACATGTCTTCAACATTTCAATTGAATTGACATTTCTATTTAGGTATGCCAATGAACTAGCACTTTTAGGAAGCTAAATGAGAAAATTTGCAACTTTATGCTACTTTTCAATGATGACAAATCAAAATTAGATATTTAGCATTATATTCTCTGAAATGCATGCATGTCTGACCTCAGTCAGTGATTTGACACTCTAATTTATTGCATGTTTTATCTTAACTTCTGTTACAGTGCCTCTAACATAATTATTATTCTTTTTAGCATGGGATGTATTCTTAATTTTCTCAGGTACACATTTTTGCCACTACAATATCACAAAGAAGGCAGCTAGACCTAGGTAGTCTTCTACAGGTGCACTAGCTTATACTCAAACAGGTTATTTTGGGCTATTTCTAAGCTAAATTTTATTACCTCCCAAGGACAGAAATACTGTCTCACATGTAAGTGTATTTGTTTTTCGTCTCAAACTCTTCAACAGTGGCTCGCACAATGGCAAAGTAGCGCCCCTACTGCCATCACTGTGTCTTACACAGAGTGTCCTGGCAGGACAACCTGTCTAATGAAGCAGCAAGGTGGAATGAAGAAGGGACCTTGAAATAGGAATGGTTTGTATGGTTAAGCAGGCCATGCCATTTTCAGACCTGCACAACCAAACTTCAAGGTATTTTCTAGGAGACTGCAGATTTTTCCGCAGTGATCAAGGATTGTGAAGGAATGATGTATTCCTCGTGTTTAATTCTTGATGAATACCTGGAACCAGGTTTCTGCCTCACTTTCAAGAGCGCACCTATTGCAATGTGTATGTATGTCTGTTTTCCCCTCACAGATCCCAAAGGTGAGCATTTTCTATAAAGCAAACCAAATCAGTATTTGAAGTTTAGCAAGTCCCTTACGGTGTTTTACTCTTTAAAAGGATTCTCTGCCTGGAGAAAGCCAGGAGCAACGTGACTGAAATTCTCCATATCTCCACTGGGACTTGAGCTGTGAGTTACAAGTGATTTGCAGAGACTTTCGCCTTTACAGGTTTCACTGAGTTTAGGGGCACTTTCCCGTACAGGAAGGGGATCAAAGGCGAGCTGCCTGAAGTCCAATTGCAGCACTGCGCCGTGTTTTTTTCAGCTTTTAATATCAAAGGGTGGAAGTACCCAGTGCAGGAACGGGAAAATCTCTGAGCGCTGATTCGTTTTTCCCGGTGGCGGCAGCTGTCGGAGCCCGGCTGCCCGCAGCTGCCCCACCGGGCAAGCTGCTCCCGGGCGCCAATTCTGGCCGCGGAAATTCGGCTCCAGCTTAATGAGACCAAGCTGGGCAGAGGCACTTAAAGCAAATTCCCACTAACATCCTTAATATATCTGCAGTGTGTGCAGCAGAGGCGGTGACAGCAGCGGCAGCAGCATGAGATTCACAGTATTAATAAAGGGATTCACCGCCTCGTTAAAAAA